TTGCTAGCACCAGCGCGTGGCTATGATCAACATTGGCGGCATATAATCGGCTCCAGATCACGTGGCCGCTTGTTCTGGCTGCGAGTTGAGGGGGTGAACGCTGCTCATTTTTCTTTAATTTTTTTCCGGGACTTCTGTAGCGTGGGGTGAAAAACGAACGCGTGTTTCATAGGTCATCAATGTCAGGGGTTCGTTCTAAGCAGTATTTGCGCAAAGTAGAAAAATTGTTGCATCGCCCCTTTAAGCTTACTTTTTCAGAGCCGCCGTCTTTCTGGAGACTGAGGAATTCACGTAATTGTTCCTGCGCGCTCTCGAGCGCTCTTTCCAGAGCGCTCAAAATCGGGCGGGGGAAAGAGAGTGCTTTGGCCTGATTGGCTGGTTCATTCCGAGGGCGCTTCTCCTTCTCAAAGCGCTCCCTGGCACTGCGTCCGTAGCCGTCGGAGTGCGGAGCGACGCAGGCGTCACGTGGTTCTTGAACGGGGATAACGTGGTTTTGTGGACGATGGCCGGCAGTAGTCTGTGCTGGTGTGAGAGGCCCGACATGACGGTGATTGATATCTGGTTCTACAAAGTGTTTGTGCATTCGACGGTGCGAGGATTACAACGGACGGGACGACATTCGTTTGTTATTGCAACAGGAAAAGTCGACGTGTGAAGTATTCCCAGTGCTCTCACGAAATCGTTCACCTCAAGGCGGTGAATCCGCTAAGCCTAACCAATGAAGAAACAGCTCGCAGAGCGCGCCGCTGTATTACCGGGTTTTGTGGTCGCTTCAAGAAATTTTCAGGTTTGGTAAATGTGCGTTCAAAGGTTTGTGTTGTAAAATAAATGGAGAGCCAAATATGATGCAGTGTGATTTGCATCACTTAGCGATGTGTACCATACACTCCTTGCACAATATTTTACCGCGAGAAAAATTCGGTTTACATTAACCCTGTCGTACGCATGGCCGCTATCGCAGCGCGTTCACTGTAGAAAACGCGATGAGTTTACAACTTATTCCAAGAAGTGGCTTTCGTTCCGTTGTTCAAAAATCAATTCGCATACTGCTGTTTTTGTTTTTGTTTTTTTTTACATGCCGATGCGTAAAACAATTTACTTCACAACGATTATTTGATAACGTTGCGAGCGTAAATTTTGCTCAATAGTCCACCGTATGCTCTAAAAGTTTCTTTTTTTTTTAATGCATTACCAATGACAATAAGTTTTACGTCTGTGACTGGCCAGAGAATGTCAGAGCGCTCTGAACCCGGCTGTTGTGATCGGCTGAAAAGGATCCCGAGTACCCTATTGAAAAAACCAGCTTAAGCTGGTCCCAGCTTCAAGCTGGGTTATTGCCCCAGCATGCCCAGCTTGGCATGCTGGTCATGTTGGTTAATCTGGTCATACTGGTCATGCTGGTTGATCTGGTCCCAGCTTCAAGCTGGGTTATTGCCATAGCATGGCCAGTTTGGCATGCTGGTCATGCTGGTTAAACTGGTCATGCTGGTGAACCTCCCAACAAGTTTAACCTGCTTAAATTAATACACAGGATAAACAAGCCAAGCTCTTCAGAAAAGCCAACTCGGCATCCAATTTATTATTTTCGTACTTGCGGCCGCCTCACATGAACTCAGTACTAACCGACGCACAGACAGTGTTCTCGGTGCAAAGCCTGCAATGTTAATAAAACCAGATTGCTTTTCTTTCAACACGAAAAATACTAGACACACGCCAAAAATAGTCAATAGCAAACGAAAATACTACACGAATGAGAGAAGCGAACCTGGGTCCCGCCTTTTATGAGGGCGAAGCGGAAACTTGCATGGTCGGCAGAGGCGAGGAAATCCGCGTGGCTTGGATGGCATTGGTGATACTCCTCGGCACCGCCGTCATTCACGAGCACACACACGTTCGAAGACACCAAGTGACGCCTCATTCGGGACGTTCGTCATCTTCCCGCACTGAACGGACTGCCGCTCGCTGTCTCCTCAAAACCCGCTTCGCTTTCACTGTCGTTTAAGTAGTCTCCAAACAACGCGCACACAGCCGTCCCTTCGAAAACCTGTCCAAGATAGCCAAACGCGTCGCAAATTCTCCGTTCCTGCCACTCTCTCTCTCTCTTTTCTCGCACACAAAAGTAGCTTGCAGCGCGCCTGACGCGCCCGGTCGTCTACCAAAAACGAGAGGACAAAGAACAGGACTTGGCCTCGTTCCAGCCTAAGCCGACTTGGCGCGCGCGCTCTCCCAGCAATGCCAGTTCGGCTATCTCTAGCCGACCTTGGCGTGCGCGCTCCCAGCATGACAAACTTGACCACCACGATTATTAGTCCGACCAGATTCACCAGCTTGTCTCCCAGCATGACCAGCTTGTCTCCCAGCTTGACCACAATGGCTCCATGGAAAACCAGTTTGACCAGTTAAGACCAGATTGAATCTAAAACCAGTTAAGACCAGACTGGCTCCCAGCTACACCAGATTGAATCTAAAACCAGATTCTAGTAAGTCCGAGCTGGTTTTTACTTAAACCAGACTGAGCAGCTTAAATTCCAGCTTGCCCAGCTTAAACCAGCTTGATTGCGAGTTAAACCAGTTTGACTACCACATTGACCAGATAGACCAGCTTAGTTACCAGCTTGGCCAGTTTGATTTTCATGCTGGTTTTTCCAATAGGGTAGCTCTGGCGGTGAGGAGAAGGCGCTCTGCTGAATCAACGTCAGAGGAAAGAGGCGACCACCCAAATTCAGCAGGGTTGGGCCGTTATCAATAAATTGGGGCTGACAGCCACTAAAGGGGTGTCCAAACAGGACACTACAAAGCGCACGACTCCGAAAAATCGTGAAAATTGAAGCGGGCGCGTCCGCTTCAATTTTCACGATTTGCCGGAGTCGTGCGTTTTGTAATTTCCTCTTTGGGACACCCCTTAACACGCTCAGCTGGCTGTCGCCGAGGCCTACGCAGTTCTTATCTATGCCAATCTCCGAGGAAAAAAAAAAGATAGGGAAAGGGAGAAGAGCGGAGGAAAGCCGTGCCTTTGCGTGGTCGATGTAATTACTCCTGTTTAAGATAGATCAGATGTAACTACTCTTGTTTAAGATACATCACATGTAACTACTTTTGCTTAAGATACATAACATGTAACTACTCTTGTTTAAACTATATCAGGGGTAATAACTATGTTTTAAGGATAAACATGTTTAAAGGGGTGTCTTCGCTACGTAAATTCGTAAACATATTTTTTAAAAGATTTAGACGAAGTGATATAAGTATCACCTGCTGTCTACTCGACTGGCTATTTTATATTTTCTTAAGAGTACTTGGTTATGCCATCAAAACAAAGACCGGATTTGGGCTCATATCTTAAGGCTGTTTTTTCCTGCCAAACTTCAGTAACATTAATTTGGGCAAAAATGATAAACAAATCACTACTAGTTTATTTTAGTGTCCAGCCATTTCTGCGCGCAGAAAATGCCTATATCGGCGCACTACATGAAAGTTATGGGATACTTTGTAAAGCAGATACGCATTAATTTATTACTCAGAGGGAAAATTGTTATGGTTACTACCTTCTAGTAGGCCTTGCATCTAAAGCGTTCCCTCACATGCCTAGCAAAAGTTAGAGCAAGCTTTTAGCCTTCTCTAAATACCTTTCTGACATGCTAAGTTACAACCAAAAAAGAACACAAAAAGACGGTGACGAGAAAAGAAGAAACAAGAGAAGCGCTCACTACCAACAAGTTTATTCAGAAAAAAGCGTCTTCCCTTCCTTTCTCGCCTCTGCCTTAATGCGCTCTTCTTTCGTTGCAGCCACGAACCAACTTGCCCAGCAAAGGATTTTATTGTGATTTCGTTAACTGCACAAAACCCTATCTGTAGATAAGCCCAGCCATGCCTCGCACATAGGTTTTGCAGGGTGCTGCAGAACTGGCATAGGTAGGCTTTGTATTTTCCCCTGCTTCTTCACTAAGGACTGTGCCCCTTATACTTCAAGTTCTCTCAATGCAATTACTAATTTATTACTCACGTTGCCTTTCAGCTTTAAATTTATATTTTATACTAAAAAAGTAGACAATAGCAGGAGCAGCCTCCCGTACGTTCCTCTTCACTTTCTCCCTCTTTCTCTCCCTAGCGATATTTTGGGCTCCATCTCAAGGCTAAAATATTTTTTGACTGCAAAGCTGTAGACTTGATAACGAACTATCACACATATCTCGAGCTAAACATTGACTTACCAAAATAGAGTAATTGCTAGTACCATACTTCATCATCATATAGAGTGTATACTGCAATTACTTCTGGTTAAAGTTAACAAACTATTTCTGCAATCAAAGAGTTTAGGATGAATGATATATCTTGAGATATCCTTGAACTATGAATGTTCGCAGTTGTGATACATGAATGTATTTTTAGTACTGCTTAGGCACTGTGATATTTAGAGTATTCCGACTAGTACGTTAACACAATTTCAGGGCCTTCACAAAAAGGTGCGCTCGGAAAAAAATGAAAACAAAAAATAATTTTGCACTTGTGCTTGAATTGACTGAATTAAATTGTTTCTTTCACCTTATAGACAGCCACGTGTGGTTTGCAGGGAAGAAAGAAATCGCGCGTGAGTAGAGGCAAATAACAGATGTGTTGCAGCACCCTGCTGGATGTGGCCCCAGCGTATTCAGGGGAAGGTGCAGCGCAAGCTGCTCGTCGGTGCAATCGGCGTTTGAGCACAATTACTCTTCAATATTTTTTTGGCAAGCGTATGTGACTACCTAACGCTCATCTCGTACTGCATTGCGATACCTCATGAAACAATATTTATCGGAGAGACTCAAATCGGCAAGGAATGCGTTCTACAAGGAAGCAACCTTGCACATTCTCTTCAAATATAAAGACAAAGCGAGTTCATATATTTCGAAAAATAAACGAATGATATTTATTTATATCGCACGTTTGAAGTACATTAATATCCAAAGCATGAAGCTGAGCCCACTAAAAAATGTGAGAACAGAATGGCGCTGGTCTTATATCTAGATAATGCTTCCCAAATCTTGGGAACTCCACAGAGCTTTGAGTATGGTGGCCACTTCTTTCTCTTGGATCCTAAGCCGAAGACGTTCCAGATGCTGCGGCTTGAAATGCGACTTCCAATCGCCCACGTCCGCTTTACGGACATGATTCGTGTAGCGTACCATGCCAGAATCGTCGCACACAAATCTTTTTACAGCCTTCAGATAAGGGTTGTCCTCATTTTTCTCTGAGAAACCAATGTTGTCATCAGTCATGTCCATGAGCTTAGACATGAAGGGAGCACTGCATTTCTCAACGACCATCTGGCACAACCTGTTGTGATCATCTAATTGCTGTGCGTATTCTTCACCAAGAAAACGAGCGAGCATCAATAAAGTGCCTCTAAAGTTCTTCTTAAGTTCCTCGTAAGTTATCAATAAGACATTCGCGTCGTCCTTGTGGTCGTACCATGACTTCAGGTGGTCGAAGAAGTCGCCGCGGACGTTCTCGCCCGTCACAAAGAGCTCAAAGAAGTCGTCGAAGGTACCGTCTTCGAACTTGTACACCGGCATGGATTTAGTGTAATGATAGAAGGACGTGCAGACGTCCAGAGGGTTTCTGGTGAGGTAGACGTACTTGGCTTTAGGGTTCATCGGCTGTTCCCAGTAAAGAAAATGTGTCTTCATGAAGCGAGGTGGTAGCATGCGCTTCACTGGTCCCGTCCCCAGTAGCTCGAGGAACGGTGTCCTTCGGCCGAACTCTGCTAGGTTTTTGGCGGACTGTCCTCTGTGTAAGACAAAGTGCAGCGCACGCTCACTCCGTTTCTGTGCATGATATGTCTTGCACAGACAACCTAAATGTGCCTCTAAGCAATTTTCATACCATGTGTCGAGAAACTGAGAGAAAGGAGGAGATAAGAGAGCGCGGCGACGTCACAACACCAATCTCTGCTTGGAACGATTAAGAGATAGACCTAAGACTAGCTGCTGTGGACATCACACGTTTAGTTTTGGTTTCGCCAAACGTTTAGCTTCCGTTTCGCCTCCGGCGTCTGGCTAATAGATCCTGCTGAGGTATCCCACCGGAGGGCGCGGGCGTCTGAGTAAAGATAGGCTACCTACATGTCTGTCTGTCTGAGGGTGAAGACATCCATTGTTGCCCTGAATGTGCCAGCGCGTGACACTCTCGCGCACTCGGTACGTGACTTGGGCGGTAAGATGGCGTCTATGCATCAACCAAAGCTACGCGCCCGAGCTGAGTGACACCAGGTTGCGCGCGCTTCAAAATGCATAAAAAAACGATTGAGCGGAAAAATAGCTGAAATGTCACCACTCAAGCAAAAGCGCGCGTGTGTATGAAGGCACTCTGAGCAAACAGTTTCGGGTTACAGTTTCGGAACCGGAGGGACGCTCCCGCAACGGGGCTAACGTGCTCATGTATTCCTTTACCTTGTGTAGTCAAGTATAATAAATAGTTTTATGTACCGGATGTATCCACTACTCTGCCTTTTTGTACAGCGCACTCGTCGAAAGCGTGTAACGACACTCAAAGCCAGCCTACGCCATGAACGACGACGATGAAGTTCAGCTGCCTCTTCAGCGCGAGCAATTAAAGCAGTTCGAATCCAAACGCTGTCCGAGCTGGTTCGTTTCGTCCCTGCTCCCAACAGATTTGAAGACGCAGAATCGAACTCGTTCTTTCATACCCTTCTGCTCCGATAGATGCCGGCGCATCTAACGCTCTTGACGGTGACGCCCTCCACTCACCTTTGGCAGTGATCCAGAATTTTCGGCTGCCACCATTTTGGCCGAAAAATCCGATCGTATGGCTCATGCAAGTTAAGGCCCAGTTCCGTCTCCGGCACATCACCAGCTAGGAGACGCGGTATCTTCACACCGTGTCCTCCTTGCCAGCCGACGTAGCCGAGGAGCTGGCCGACATTCTGGCCACTCCGGATCCGGTCAGCCCCTTCGACCAACTGAAGGCCGCCATTCTTGACCGCAAGACCGAGTCGGAGCGCAGCAGGCTTCAGCAACTCCTTAACACCGAGGAGCTCGGTGACAGACGACCGTCCCATCTTCTCCACCGAATGCATCAGCTGCTGGGAACCCAGAAGAAAGTCCCCAACACCACCTCCTGCGTGAGTTGTTTTTACAACAGCTCCCACCGACCATGGTCCCTGTTCTGGCGGTTGCGGAAGACATGTCGCTCGACAAGCTCGCTGAGCTTGCAGACCGTGTCACCGACTACTCGCGGGCCCCTGGCATCAGCGCTGTCACCAATAGAACGCCCGCAACAACATCAGAAGACTCTAGACTGCCGCCCCTTGAGGACCATATCGAGGCCCTGAGTCGACAGCTTGCCACCCTCGCACCCTTATCACGACGTCGCCAACAACGGTCCCACTCCCGCCGGCGCTCGCGCTCTCACTCACGTTCGGTAGAGCACACCAGCTCCTCCAACAGCGGTCAGGTCGACTCTGACTCGGGCAGGTGTTGGTACCACCGTACCTTATCACCGTACCGTACCGTACCCGCAAGTGCGCCCAATCCTGCGCTTCGGCGGAAAACTAGAAAACCGGACATTGGCGGCGGCAGATGCTAACGGTAGACAGGAAAGCCACCGCTTTTATGTCGTTGACGAGGTAGCGGGCCATCGCTTCCTTGTCGACACAGGAGCCGAGGTCAGCGTTCTACCGGCCTCTCTTTTGGACCGACAACGCAATCAAAAGACCTCCCCGCTCCAAGCGATCAACAACTCACCTATCGCCACCTACTGTCAGCGGTCCCTTACAATCAACCTTGGACTGCGCCGCACATTCCGGTGGCTGTTCATCGTCGCCGACATCAAGCAGGCTATCCTGGGAGCAGACTTTCTCAACTTCTACAAACTGGCCGTCGACATTCATTCACGACGCCTCATCAACCTGGGCACACGCCTCTCCGTGAATGGCGTGCTCTCTACGACCACGGCAACAGGACTTAAAGAAAGCGTGTTCACCATCAACGGCCTATGAGAAAAGTCTCGCGAATTTTCCGAACCTTACGAGGCCACACACAAGTTAGTCACCGGTGAAGCACACCATTACTCACCACATTATCACCTCTGGCCTCCCTGTTTTCGCTCGTCCTCGACGGCTGTCTCGAGAGCGCCTACTCATTGCTCGTCGCGAGTTTGAGCATATGCTCGAACTTGGCATCGTTCGATCATCATCGAGCAACTGGGCCTCCCCACTGCACATGGTCCCCAAGAAAACTGCCGACGACTGGAGACCGTGCGGTGATTACCGTGCACTCAATAGCAACGCCCAGCCTGACCGGTACCCACTTCGTCACATACAGTACTTCACCACGACCCTGGCTGGTTGCCAGATATTCTCCAAGATCGACTTGGTGAAGGCATACCAATAGATTCCGGTGGAGCCGGCCGACATCCCAAAGACCGCCATCACCTCACCATTTGGCCTCTTTGAGTATGTGAGGATGCCGTTGGGTTTGCGGAATGCCGCCCAGACATTTCAACGTACCATCAACGAGGTGACCCGAGGTCTAGGCTTTGTCTTTGCTTACCTCGACGATCTCTTGGTCGCCAGCACGTCAGAGGCCGAGCATGAGGAGCACCTGCGCACACTTTTCACCCGCCTCGATGACTACGGGTTGGTCATCAACCAGAACAAGTGCACCTTCGGCGTGACGACCATTGCATTTCTGGAACACCAGGTAACACCGCAAGGTATCAAACCCTTAGATGCAAAAGTTACGGCCATTCGAGGCTTTCCGCAGCCAACATCTCTGAAGAAACTGCGCGAATTTCTAGGTCTCCTAAATTTTCACCGCCGTTTCCTACCGAGTTGTGCGCAGCTGATTAAGTCGTTGACGGATCTTCTAGCCACCAAAAAAGAACCCTTTGCGCCTCTTGAGTGGAACGAAGATGCAGCGTCTGCTTTTTCTTCAGCGAAAAAGGCGCTCGCTGACGCTGCAATGCTCATTCACCCCGTTCCAAACGCTGAGCTACGACTCGCCACCAACGCATCAAGCGTAGCGGTCGGTGCGGTTCTTCAGCAGAATGTCAATGGCTGGCAGCCTCTCGGATTTTTCTCCCACAAACTCAAGAACCCAGAACAAAAATACAGTACTTTCGCACGCGAACTTCTGGCAGTGTACCTTTCCATCAAACACTTTCGCCACTTCCTCGAGGGCCGGAACTCCATGTTCTTACAGATCCTAAGCCCTTGACGTTCGCATTCGAACGAAACCACAGCGACCACACAGCACGTGACATCCGATACCGTTGCTTTATATCAAAGTTTACCGTCGACATCCGCCATGTCAAAGGCCATGAACACACTGCTGCGGACGCACTCTCCCGCGTAAGTGCTATTTCTTCAGCAAATCCGGTGGACTGGAAGGAGCTGACAACCGCTCGAGCAAACCATCCCGAGCTGCAACGCTTGCATGCCGCTCCTGGATCACTGAAGTTTGCTGACGTTCCTCTGCCCTTTTCTCCAACAACAGTTGCCTGCGAGACGACAATTGGTGTGTCCCGACCATTCGACCACCAGCATTTCTTCGCGCTCTTTTCAACAACCTGCACAACAAGAGCCACCCAGGAATCCGTGCTTCACAGAAATTAATAACTGCTCGTTTTTTCTGGTCCAGCATGAACGCGGATGTCCGTTGCTGGGCACGAACGTGCGTGCAGTGCCAACGCGTAAAGATCACGCGACACACAATCACATCCATCTCACCTTTCCGACCACCGAACTCCAGGTTTGCACACGTTCACATAGACTTAGTGGGACCCCTTCCATCATCACGGGGAGCCCGCTATTTGCTGACGTGTGTAGACGATTCACCAGATGGCCCGAGGAATTCCCGTCCCTGACATGACAGCGAAGACAGACGCTACAGCCTTCATCGACGGCTGGGTGTCCCGTTTCGGCAGCCCTGCTGTAGTCACCACCGACAGGGGACGGCAGTTTCGATCCTCCCTTTTTGCAGCCTTCGTCACCGTCCTGGGCGTCCGACACATTCTAACACCTCCTATCATCCCTCGGCCAACGGCATGGTGGAACGGCTGCACCGCCAGTTGAAGGCAGCTCTCGCCACCTACGAGCCGCTGGAACGTTGGGCCGACCACCTTCCCCTTGTACTCCTAAGCCTTCGCTCAGCGCTCAAGGCAGATCTTGGCTATTCTACAGCCGAGTTAGTCTACGGCACATCACTGCGGCTACCTGGCAAATTCTTGTCTTCGTTTCCCTCCGAGTTAAGAAAAGACCCCACCGGCTACGTCGACGACTTACGAAAAACCTTTCGTCTCCTCCGGCCTGTGCTTCCAGCTCAACGGAGCCATCGGGACGTATTCGTGAGCCAAGACCTTGAGACATGCTTGCATGTTTTCTTACGTCGCTACCAGGTCCGTCGACCATTGGAACCGGCTTTCGACGGCCCGTTCAGAGTGCTGGATCGGCAAGCCAAGACCTTTACACTAGACATAAACGTCCGTCATGACGTAGTCACGACCGACCGTGTCGAGCCGGCCTACCTAGAAGCCATATTTCCTGCATCCCCTGCCCCGTCAGCACCTTCGGCGCTTGCAACAAGAACCAAGCACATCACATGGACCCTTCCAGGGCCAACGGCTCCACAGGGGGGAGCCTTGTAGCGACACTCAAAGCCAGCCTACGCCATGAACGACGACGACGAGATTCAGCTGCCTCTGCAGCGCGAGCAGTTAAAGCAGTTTGAATCCAAACGCTGTCCGAGCTGGTTCGTTTCGTCCCAGCTCCCAACAAGCGTTAGGACGCGAGATGCCGGCATTTGGCTTTCGCAGTTGAACGCGCTATTCTGCGAGTGCAGTGAGATCGCTTCCTTTATACTGGCAAAGCCCGGCAGGTCGCCATGAGAAGTGGCCGCCGGAATGGAAAAGGTGGAGCGGCTGACAACGGATGCGAGGAGAGCCACGTGACTGGCGGCCCGCTGCGGCGAGACGCCGAAACACACTTCTCTCGAGCGAACAGGGGTGATTCGAGTTCTCGCCGCTGCAAAAGCTCTGCGCTGACGTCCAGGTTCCCCGAGAAATGGTTCTTTGGTGCTTTTTGGTACCAGGTCCTCGCGCTGCAAATCTGCGACCGGGCACTCAATGGCTCCGTCGTCGAAATGCCAGGCCTTGTGAGTATACACTCTAAAAAAAGGGTCAGACAATTCCTCTATGATGTCACAGATAGAAGTCTCAACGCTTTTTCCATCGATGTCAAAGGTCTTTATTATGCCCTCCCTCAAGACCGTCCTCTCAGGTGCATAGAAGAAAGTGTTGAATCCTTTGGTGTCATAGCCTTTCAAAACGCGTCAGGTGTCTCAGTCAAGGGTTTCCTAGATTTAATAACCACCTACCTGAATTCTACTTTTGCCACCTGGGGAGGCTTAACATACCTGCAGGAAACGGGAGTATGTATTGGCTCTTGTGTAGCTCCCGTACTCAGTGACCTTTTTCTGGCATTTCATAACAGATCATTGCAGCATAACCAGTCCAAAGTAGTGCGTGTGTTTCGGTACGTGAATGATTACCTGATTTTACTTGACAGTAAAAATAGAACCTTCCCCGATTTAGTGGCCAGTGTTCTGTCCACCTTCCAGGACTGCCTTCACCCGTTAAATCTCCCCCATGAACTTCCTGTTGAGCGATCTATAAGATTCTTGGACCTTTGACTCTTTTTTGAAAGCAGTCACACCAGCTGGTCCTACGAACCTCGAGCAAAGAAGCCACTCCTAAACCATAGCTTCGCCCACTCTAAGCTTGTAAAAAGAGGCATTGTGAAACTCTGCCTAAAAAAACTCTCTGGAAAAGTCTTGCAAGCACACAGTCCTTATGAGTTTCAACACGCAAATTTCTCGGTTGGTTTCAGCGGGCTAACCCCCGTGTTTATTAACTTCCGTTGCCGATGTCCTACTCAGGGAGGTGAAGCAGGAAGGAGCTATTACACGCAGAACTAGAGACCGCACCACAAGGCCTGTCATAGTTCCCTACATTAACAACCTATCCCACAAGCTCAAGAAAATGGCCAATAGAATCAACGTAGAGGTTGTTTTCTGCGCGCCGAGTAGACTTTCTACCTTGTGCAAGAAGGTGAATGGGACACCAGGTCGACCAGTTGGATGCATCAAAAACCACCACACCAAGTTCGTGTCCCGCAATGAGGGAGTAGTCTATTCCTTCCCCCTCACTTGTGGCAAGCGTTACATCGGACAGAGGGGTCGCTGTCTAAATGACCGACTTCGTGAGCACAACAATAACGCCATAAATGCCAACTCGGGTCATTTAGGCATGCACTGCAGAGAGTGTGGATGTTCTCCCCTCCTGGACAAATGCACCATACTGGGACGGAGCAGGAACAAACTCACGCGAGAAATAGTAGAGACCGCTAACATTGTAAGGCTAGATAGAATATAAAAAGAGTTGAACTATATGGTACAAGCACAGTAGCAACGTCCGATGTATTGGGGATTTATTATTTTTCTTCCCTCTATATTTTTTTCTTCCTTCTATATTTCGTTTTTATTCCATTTTCTGTTTTTTCCTTTCACTTTTTCATATGATCATCGGCTTTTGTTTCACTGCCATTTGCATCGGAGTGAAGGAAGATGAAGATGACGCATAATACACTTGAGTTGTCAGTCAGCGCTGCGTAAGTGCTCTTCCTGTGTATGCGTGAATTTTCTTTTAAGTGTGTCTGATCTTGTGCGCTGTGAGGCAGTGTCCCCATATAATGCATTCCAAAACTTTAGTTCCACGTACAGCGCACTATAGTCAAACAGACGGTTCCAAATTTAACGAGGGGCTTGAAAACGGTGCGATATAACTTATTCAATAGCTAAAGTACGCATCAAAAACCAGAGAAACAAAACACTGAGGTTTTGCAGTCTGGTCAAGAAAACCCCGATTATTTTTTTGGAGTCAGTGCCACGTGCATTAACTATTTTATTAAGCTGTACCACACGGTTATCAAGCATCTCCTGAAAGTTAGTACCGCCAGATCGAGGTCAGTGCGCTGTACGTTGAACTGAAGTTATGGGGTGTATTATATGGAAAAAAAGTGTAATAATGCACCCTTTTTTTTAGAGTGTAGAGGAGGCTATGGCAGTGAAGACAGAGGCAGCCTTTGTTTTCCCGGCACTCGTCGAACGCTTTCAGACGCTGAACGCCGGAGTCCGGCGCTTGGCTTTCGCAGTCTCGGATTCGACGAGTGCAGTAGAGACAAGGGGAGCTAGCTTTCCGTCCAGCCATTAATTGTTCAAAGCAGACCGCGGTGTTATGACTTCACCCGAGCGCTCTGGTCTCCGCCTCTCTCTCAGTTTCTCGACGCACAGTCTCCAATAGTTTAAGAAATACATGGCGCGGCGAGAACAATACGAGCTCCGGAAAACAAGGCAGGACGCAAGAAGTGGTAGCAGTGGTGAATTGAGAAAAAAAACCACCGGAATTTAAAGTATGACACATACGACGGTCATCTCAGCTCAGTCGACGACCATTCCCTCTTACCTGTGAAGAATAAGTTGTATGATCTGCTGGAGCCAGTTGTTGCCGCATTTTGCGTGCGACACCAGGACAATATCGCCATCTTCAGGCATATAGCTGAGGGCTTCGCGGATATGCTCGGCCCTGTACGCGGTTGCATACTTGACGCCGTCAATGTCTTGAGTGACAGGATAGCGCCTGGCAGACATATCTAAAAACAAAAGGAAAAAAAAAAAAACTTACCCATCGGTGTTTCTATGCTTCTTGTGTAATTGTATTGGTCTCGAATAGTTGTATCAGGCGCGATAGATTATCCTAGTAATCCGTAATTCTGAAATGCGAATCACTGCCCATCTTCGGTGTCAGCAAACAGCTGCAATATTCCTTAATTTCTGTGCTTCTTCGTGGCACTCAGGAATAACAGACATCTGAGATACAATGCGTACAGTCGCGGGAATTATAAGAAAGGTAAGGCGCAGTCAGTCCACACAATCTAATTATTTCTCCGCAGCAAATAGAATTACGTGATTAAGAGATAAGAACTCCATAGAACGAATCACCCAGCATTAAGAAATAAGCAAAATAGGTCTCACTTTGGCTTCCTTGATATGCCAGGGCCGGTCCTAGTGCGGCAACCACACATTTTACATTAAGCATACTCCGTCTTACCGTAACTTGGCAAACAGCAAAGACTGCGGTCCAAAGTGAGCCAATCAGCGAGTCCAAGTGAGACACGTGACCAAGCTCCATCGCATTAGCTGCGCGCAGTGCTGTCAAAGCAGCGAACGGGAGCGAGGGGCAAGCCGCCTTTGGTCAACACCACCTAGAAATTAGGCCGTAGGGCTTCGAGGGGGTACGTCACAATGTCGGAGGAAGGAAGACCATGGCGTAACTACGTGAGAAAATTTCAGCTGTCAACGCATATCGACGTGAATAAAAACGTTTCTTGTCGAGCGGTGCGGTAATGCCCGTGCGCGTCTATCCGACATTAGTACACATTTTAGAAGCGCAGTCTTGTACAATTTATTATATACATATATATATATATATATATATATATATATATATATAATATAAACGTAATATACAACGCGTTACCAAGGTTGAAAGTAGCAAATTTATATTTACGATTATTCCCGTAACCACGGGACTATGCACTGTCCCGCAGCTCTCCACACTTTTCGAATGAACCGGCTCCGAATTTCCGATGAGACATCATTTTCCCTAGTACGGGCTCCGATTCTGGTAAATTTACGTTGTTTGTGAGCTGCTGCAAAGGAACGCTGTGACATTTCAAAAGGGAAAGGAACCGAAAAAAAATCCATTCATCGCCGCAGGGAGGGAGCGCAGACTAGTAAGAGATGGGTCGACAATGTTAAGCCTCTCGTCTCACACTGCTGGTGCTGCTCTCGCGTGTGTGTGTGTGTGTGTGTGTGTTTGTGTGTGTGTGTGTGTGTGTGGGTAGTTATTTTGTGTGTGTGTTTGTGTGTGTGTGTGTGTGTATGTGTGGGTAGTTATTTTGATCCTCCTACCCGTCGTTTTTTTGTTTTTTCGTCACCACAGTTTTGGGTAGTTTTTTTTGTGTTCGCTTGATACTACGGCATTTGCGTGGATTTGGGAAACGAGTGCTGCTACGGTTTGAGTGACGTCTGCGACAACTAGTCAACGATGACACTGGCCGATGACCTCTCTCTCGATGGAGAGAGACTTCTAGAAGTTCGTGTTCAGATGTTTTCGTGATGGATAGTGTGGGACGTATGGATACGATTGACACGTGAGGAACAACTCATTTACGGGCTTTCTTGGTCTTGTAAGCCCAAGTAAAGTGCTGCAGTCGATTTTTTTTTAAATCTCGTCATAGAATGGAATTTTGGCCCTCGTCGTTATCCCTTTGCTATTGCGTCGACATTTGTAAATATGCGTGGTAATATTCTAGTTTTTACTGGAAGGTAAATAACAAGTTTGTGTGATTATTGAAAGTGCGTTGTTTGTGCTTATGTGTTTATACTAATTGTAAATTGTAAGGTGTGGCGCCATTGTTTATCGCTTTCTTGACGTGCTCTCGGTGATGTGTGTTGCCGGGCGCCGCCGCCTTTGCATTCGTGACATATGTATCCCCGTAAGGAGAGTGCCCTTTGCGGGAAGCTGGCTGGGGTGTCGTGTTTCCTCTCCGTGTTTTGATGAATGGACGAGCAACATTGCATACCGGAGTGCCAAGTTTGTATGAGAGTCGCGCAAGACCTGACATCAGAACCGACGAATGGCAAAGCCTCTGAAGGAGTGATGTCAGTGTTGGCGAATAGCAAATCCTCAGAAGAATTGATGTCAGTTCTGACGAATGGCGCTGGAGAGAAGTGATGTCAGTGTTCGGAGCTTCTTTCTATGTTCTTTCATTTGGGGGGATTGTAAGCAGCGCGTATGCGCTGGTATTTAAGCGTAGTCTTAGCTGGAAAAGGGGTTCTTGTCTGGAGCTAGGTGGGCAGGCCTCACCTCGAGTAGCCGCGGAGAGGGTCCGAGGGGCGGCCAGAAAGTTTCCTTCCCGCTTCGTAAAAGTTGCTGTATCGTGATTCCCTGCAAATAAAGTATACCTAGCCCATTTTAAGCCTCACCGAGCCTTCTCGCTGATGACATCGGGAGTCTGGGGCGCATCGAGAAGAACGGAGAACCATATAGTCTAATGTTATTTTGTTGCCTTTACCGCGTTTGTACTAGAATCTTAACTGTATTAAGGTAATAGTATTATTGTATACAAAATAGGTTATATTTTGTTCTTAGGCAGCTAGAGCGCATAGGGAGAGGTCAATTACTTGACTGTAAATAGTAAGTTTAGTACCCCGGCCACACAAAAAAGTTAATATATTTTGATTAAATAATACGGGATTTAATCAGCTCGCTGTTTTGAGTGGCTATATGAGCGTGGCAAGCTGATTTGTCAGCCCCATACTGTCATTCAATGGAAATTACATTAATTTTGTTTTAGTGACTGCACGCGATAACATCGCTTATACGATCGGAAGTGACACTTGTCGAGCCGCGTCCGCGTTGGCTACGTCTATCTGATTTTAACTGATCTGTATTGTGTCCAATCACTGCGTGTCTGGCCATTTTGTCGAAATATTTCTGTATAAAATATGCATTTCTACAGCAATAAATGTGTTTTTCTAAACACGTCTTCTACGCATACCTCGTGCCATTTCGCATCGATTATTTAGTGGTGTAATGTTTTGCCCGTGTAATAAAGGGTTTCTTAGACCCCTTGCAATGTGCAGCTTTCATTTTATCTAATAAGACACGCGTATGTGACGAAAAGCGCGTTACGACGGTTGATCCAGGCGCGTTGCCTTCGCTTCGACGAGCGCCCCCGATGGCCTTCCACTGCGACGTCACGAGAAGAGCGCTACGGCCTTTTTCTCTAGGAGGTGTTGCTTTGGTACGAACTTTGAGTGACGGTCTAATTCTCCAGGAACCGACCTCCCTGATATACAGAAGAGGGTGTTCGGGTAAGAGGAGAGTTCCCCCTTTCCCTCTTCTCCAACTCTTTGGGTTGCTCTGTAGCCCACGTAACCTTTGGTTAGAACTGCCACGTACCGTTTCGGCTCGATGATGACAGAGCATTCGCTCTTTGCCAACCTACGGTGAAATATTATCCTACTTACCTTTTTATCTTTCCAAGACAGAAGTGCACGCGCCGCAACGTTTGGACTTATAGCCGAAATAAACAGGACAATACGGTCCGTTACTATACACGCTTCGAGCAAGTTCTAGAGACGGCCTGCTTGTTGCTGCAGTACTGCCACACCGCGATTTGTGGTTTACCGCTGCGTTTTTCTCGCTTATTTCGATTCCACCAGATGTTAGGCAGGAAACTGGCCGTAAAGCTAAATGCTTCTTTTTTTTATATTATAAGCCGCCTTCAAAAAGACAATACGACGATGACGATCCACACTGCATCGATCGTACTTCATTCAGTGATCTGATATTGAAATGATGTTGCGTTCATTGAGCGTCGATAAGTTGTTGATGAATAAATGATTTTAATTTCGTGATGTAGTTTCCCGTCAAATATAGCGTGGGAACTGAACTGGTGCATAGATCACACGACGTAAATGCTTCCGCTAAATTTAGCTAGGAACCTGATATCGTCTGTAGGTCCCGTGACGAGAGGTCACGTGACATCAGTTTTTCCTCCAAATTAGGGGGAACTTTTCCAGCTAAATATAGCGGGGGAACTGAATTGCTGCATTGGTCACGTGGCGTAAGTTTTTTTCTCTAAATTAAGCGGGTAACCTGAACTTGTCCGTAGGTACCGTGACGTCACGTCACGTGACACCTAATTTCCCGCCAAACTGAGGGGGGAACTGAAATGGTGCATAGAATACGTGACGTCAATTCTTCCACTAAATTTTCAGGGAAACTAAACTGGCGCAATGGTTACGTGACATAGCGCAAATTTTTCTGCTAAATTTATCGGGGAACCTGAATTTGTCTGTGCGTCCTTTGTCGTCACGTCATATCACATTAATTTTCCCACCAAATTTTGCGGGAACACTGTTTATTTTCGTTCACGCCCACGCCGTCGCAAAATCGGGGGTCCAGCCACTAACAGCTCCCGCTGTAAAAATTGCTGTAATGCAAAATTTGATTCAGAAAGAAAATTAAAGGGGCAGACACTTGCATAGCCTCACAACTCAGATAAGACACATCTCCAAGTGTGTGACAAAAAAAAAAAAACTAGTCTGTTGTAAAAACGACTTAGACTAAAATTTCGCAAACACGGCTGAACGATTTATATTTCAAAAAAATTGCGTCACTGAAAGAAGTGACGAAATACGTTACTCGTTACTGGCAAATGAAAAGTAACGCGAGAGCGTAGTACGTTACATCAAAACGAAAGGAACGCGTTTCCGTTACCGATAAAAAGTAGAGCAAGTTACTTTCGCGTTATTTTTTCATGTTTGAATTAGCACGTGTTACTGTTTTATGCTGCAGGTTTGCATTAGCACTATATTTAACGAAACATCATGCCCATGGAGAAACTGAACATGACTACTTTATCAAACTATTTATTTCGGCCAGTTAGTTCGTGGTCTGAAATTGTATAAAAAAGCCGAAGACAACAAGTTCAAAGACGTCCCTGCTGTTTTCGACGCTTTTAAGCCTTTTAAGATTATGTTTTTTTACGGTTTTACCTATATAATAACAAAAAATA